CCGTTTCTCCCCCTTGCCCTCGCCCTTCCCGTCTCGCCTTCGGTTTCGAGCTTGCCTGAAGCTGTGATCCGTGATATGAGGTATTTTTTTTTCGACCCCTCACTCTTGCCCTACCCGATATCCGTCTCCTTCCTTCCCGGAGGCCGTGTTCGATCTCTGTCACAGTTATTTCTGTTCATATGGTGGTTATAAAAGAATCAGTACAAATTCTTGAGCTTTGTTATTCTTATGGCTTATTTTTTCATTTGTTTGGGTCGGTTTTGGTCCCTACAGTGCTGGATTTCGGTTTTGGTTAAGATTTCATTCGATCAGGGAGCTCTGTTTGATCCTTTTTCTAACCATCTAAGCAAAACCTTGAATGGTTATAGAATTAGGGATTTCGGTTTTGGTTAAAAGCTTTGATTCGAACTCACGGAGCTCTGTATGTATTTTTGTAATTTTTTTCATCTTCTTATCGTTGAGCTTTTAATTTTGAAGGGGCATTTCCATATATGCGAATGCAAAATTTGGGCCTTCATGGTTTATCTTTGAATGCAGATTATGCAGAGCATTTGCATACTGATCATATAATTCTTATGTATTTACTTTTTCCACCTTACGTGGTCAATTTCGGCTATGTTCGATCCTTTTCTCACCATCTAAGCATAAACTTGAATGGTTATAAAATTGGGGATTTCGGTTTTAAAAGCTTTGATTCGAATTGGGTAGCTGAAGCACATATGAGAAGCAATGGAAAATTCATTTCTCTATTTTTATTTGCTACATGAAATGCTGAATTTGGGACTTCATATATATATATATATACATTGTTGGCTCGGTTTTGGTCCCTAAATGAATTTGGGACTTCATTCCGCAGCTTTATTACTGTTATGCCTCCCTAAATAAATGCTGGAAGTTATTTGGACATTTGCTGGCTCGGTTTTGGTCCCTACAGGGCTGGATTTGATGGTTTCAGTTGTATATTTAAACATGATGGGGTGGAGTTATGTTATGGGAAGGATTTAAAGGGTGTGTGTGTGAAGTATGAGTGAGTGGATTGACTGTGAGCGTGAGGGAAAGATTGTGCAGTTCGTGTTAAGTGGATGCGTTCATTTCAGCATTTTTGCTGAGAGCTTTTCTCTTCTACTTATATCACAACAATATATATACATAGATAGATAGATAGATAGATAGAATTAACACATGCTGGATATTCTATTCTTCTTTCATCCAACTTTCAGCTCTGATGTGCTGATATTTCCTTCATGTGTAAATATACATCTTAAACATTTGGGACTTCATTATGCAGCTTTACTACTCTTATGGCTCCCTAAATAAATGCTGGAAGTTATTTTTACATTTGTTGGCTCGGTTTTGGTCCATACAGGGCTGGATTTGATGGTTTCAGTTGTATATTAACACATGCTGGAGCATAATATATGGGGTGGAGTTATGTTAGGGGAAGGATTTAAAGTGTGTGTGTGTGAAGTTTGAGTGAGTGGAGTGACTGTGAGCGTGAGGGGAAGATTGTGCATTGAGTATTTAGTGGATAAGTTCATTTCAGCGTGTTTAGTGAGAGCTTTATTTGAGCATTTTTCTTCTACTTATAACACAAATACATAACAATGCTATCAAACACCAAATTCCATCTTCTAAACCAACAAAAATACACAGGTCTGGTTAGCAATAGTTATTGGTGATTCGGAAATTTACATATATACCACACAATTCTAATGCATTAACATATAAACACCCAAAATTTAATATTTACACATGTAACACCTTGGTTTTATAAACCTATGAATAAGAAGGTGTGTTTCACTTTAAGAAAATATTGATGGTGGTATTTTTGATGTAATGCTAAAGAATTGAGTGCTATGTATATAAAATATAAATGTTCAGATGTTAGATAAATACATAAGAATTTTGTGGAATGTGTAAATGCCATTTACAGAAATTGCAGGCATACCTTATTAGCTATGTTGTTAGAGAGCCAATCAAGTCCTTCATACAGCCATTCTCCAGAAGTGGCACATGTGCTCTGGATATACCTGCAGACAATG